GTTAAAATAATAAAATAACACTGCATGTGCAATTATGTATATCAAATTTATAGTAAAAAACATGCAGCATTTTTATTTCATAAACATTAAAAAACATTACTTTTCTAAAATATTACAAAAATAGTGTAAACGAGTATTTTATTTTGTTAAATTTTACATCTATGGCCTTATTATTATTATTATTATTATTATTATTATTATTATTATTATTATTATTATTATTATTATTATTATACGATCTTATTATCTTGTAATATGTATTTATTATTTAATACACCCTTACTACACGAGGGCATAAGATTAAATTGATGACATCAGTCCATCTTTATCAAAATATTTAAATATTATTCTCGAGATATAACACAAACCTTTGAACAATATAATAAATAAATAAATCCTCTTTGATTAAAAAAAATAAAAAAAATACTAAATATATCGGGGCAATTGATGACCAATTCTGTCATTTCACACATATGCCGTAAGAAAAAGCCATACACACCTGGCAACCGATCATCCAGACGGAGCAAAGGCAAACCCCCTTTAGACAATCTCGTCACTCTTAAAACATTTTCCTTCTCACACACCCACGCAATTCACACAGTCTCTCACTCTAGGTTTTGAAGAAATTCACACACACACACACACAGTGAAGAAGGAAAGCAATAAAACCAGGAAACTGGGTATCTGTTGTCCAGGGGGGTTTACGATTCCATGGGCTCCGGCCCCCCGTAGAAAACCCCTCCCGCAGCCGCAGATGTCGTCTTCTCTCTCCAAGCGAAAGCTCGACGATTATGCCGCCGATTCCATTTCTCCGATAAACCCTACCAGGATGCGTAAAGACCAAAATGCCCTCCCCTCCTCCTCCAATTCCTCTTCCTCCAATTCCCCTTCCTCCACCCGGCCGCTCCCCTCCTGGCCACGATCATCCCCCGCCGGCGACACACACCTTCAATTTTTCGTCCGGATACTTTCCTACCACTCCCTCGTAGTCCAAGCGGATTCATCCGACACAGTTCGATCAATCCACGAGAAGATTGAGTCGATCACTGGTATTTCCATATTCGAACAGCGGCTAATTTATCGGGGGAGGCAGTTACAGTTGGAGCAGACTTTGGCCGAATGTAAGGTGCAGAATGATGCCAGCCTCAACTTGGTGGGCCGTATGCGTAGCACTGGGTACCCTGAGGCGTGGCACCTTATCAATGATGTCGTTTCGATGATTTTCCGTATGTACAAGACCAACCCGCCGTCGAACCGCCAGAACCCGAAAACTCTGAGAACGAAGCTCACGAATTTCGTGTCGGACTCCCTGAAAGATCCCTTGCGAGATTCGGTGAAGAGCCGAGAAAAGTTATCCGGCTATTTGCAGATTTTCAACTCGTCTTCCGCGACGGGTGCACTGGTAATGCTCTACATGTCTTCTTGTAAAACCAACAAAGAAGAAGCAGAAGAAGCCATTAAGAGCTTTATTACTAGCATTAAAAACAGTTGGAAGCATTTCTGTCTAGATACTGTGCTGATAGTGTTGGAATTCTGTAGGTTGTTAAATAAGACAGCGGGAATTGATGATCCCTTGTATTGTTTCTGTCGACGTACTTTGGGGGAAATGGCGAAGGAGGAGAGTATTGGTATTGCGAACAAGGATATTGAGAAAAAAAAGTGTTTGATTGGAATTCATGATATATTTCCGTTTGTGAACGAATTAGCATCTAAGTTGTCCCGGGATTTGATGTCAAGTACAGAACCAACCTTCTTCCCTAGGCTTTCACCGAAAGATGTTACCGATTTCTCCACTTTTATTGAAGCCATGAAGATTCAGATTGAGAGACGAGTTGGGTTTGGTGGCCCAATTCGAGTTCCCCTTACAGAGGAGCTTCCATTGGATTATGCGGACAACGTTATCATTTTGCATGGGATATTTACTCATTTATTGAGTAAATTAGAGAACGTTTTGGTCAAAATCGAGGAGCATGTGGAGTGGGGTCAGAAGAAGAAGGAACCCGATACCCATCTCCTCCAATGGTACGAGTATCTTCGAGTGCTGAAGGAGCTTAATAGTATTTCTAAACTTTACTATGGCTGTGAAAAGGTGTTTTGGGAAACTATGAAGCGGAGAAAAGATGTTTTGTGCTATCTTGTTGTAATGTGCGCAAAGAGGAAAGATGATAATAACTGGATTCTTGACTGTAAGGAACTGACCAATTTTGAGGTGAGGAGGTGTTTAGCAATGTTCATTCTTCCGGAGGTGAAGGATGAATATAATGACCTGCATGAAATGCTGATTGACCGCGCGCACTTGTTGGAAGAGTCCTACGAGTACATTGTGCATGCCGATTTAGATTCATTGCGTGCTGGTTTGTTTATGGAGTTCAAGAATGAGGAGGCTACTGGTCCTGGTGTCCTGCGAGAGTGGTTTTTCTTGGTCTGCCAAGCAATATTCAACCCTCAAAATGCGCTCTTTGTGGCTTGCCCTAATGACCGTAGAAGGTTCTACCCCAATCCAGGTTTGGTTTTCTAACACGTGTTCCTTTGACATTTATATCTTGTTCGCTCCTCCTTTTAAGAAATGTCTAAATTTTTAGTTTCATGCTTCTGCCAATTGTTGGAATTTATATTCATTCTGCATGTGTATGGATAATAATACTGTCTGTCAGATTGCATGCAATAGGAAAGCGTACGCATGGGTCTACTTTGTTATGCGGGTGGTTTTTGTGGTTTTCTCTTTCAATACATATAAAAGAGTTTTACAATATCGGGGTTTGCCTCTCTGTCTTGCTAAGTAGTCTTATAAATGAAAAACTTAAGGTCCGTAAGAGTGTATCTGGAAATATTCTTCTAGAAGCAGTAACATAATGAAATAAATACGAACAAGAGACAATGATATTTGTGTACTTTTCTTGCTGTTGATAGTGAGTTGAAATGAAATTTCTCATAATCAGATTTTTTTTCCAAATCGTAGTAAATATGAATGAGAAAGCACTGGAACCCAAATAGTAGGTAATGATAAAATTATTGTTGTATTGATATGGGATACATGGTATACACTGACAAATGTGATTGGTTTGAAGAATGCGAGTATAAATTAGAGAGAAAAAAATTGGGCAAGTGCAGTTTCTAGAAGAAAAACTGAAACCGTAAACCTGAGAGTAAGAAATTCAGATATTGGGATTACATGTAAATAATTTGTATTATGTTTGGCAACACATGTTTTCCGACTGATAGGTACTATGTAGATCTGCCATAGACTTCTGGAAACGTCTATATATCTAATTATCTGTAACATAATGACTGTTCTTTTGAGTTGTTTGTGTGTGCCTGTCTATTGAACACGGGAACAAGTTGTTTTGCCTGAACTCATAAGTATTTTTCAAGTCTTCTATTTCTTGACTTGTTTTATGGTTAGATTTGAATCTGAATGTATCTGAATGCTTTTGATTGCCTGCCTTGCTCAATGTGTCTCTTTGTTTTTATTTTAAGATATATGTTTATATTTCCGTCACGTATCATTATTTCTCCTGGTCTGACTTGTTTATTCTAATGTAATCGACATACTACAGTAGGTTTGTCCTCCGAATGAATTTATAAGTCTTCTAAGCTTTCAAGGTATTGTTTTTTTTTTTTTTTTTTTTTTTCTTTTTTTTTTCTTTTTTCTTTTTTTTTTTCCCTATTTGCAGCATCCAAAGTGGACCCTTTGCACCTAAAATATTTCAGCTTCTCCGGCAAAGTGATTGCCTTAGCCTTGATGCACAAAGTGCAAGTCGGAATTGTACTCGATCGTGTGTTCTTCTTACAATTAGCTGGTCAAACAATCACCTTAGAAGATATAAAAGATGCGGATCCCTACTTATACAACAGCTGCAAGCAAATACTAGAGATGGACCCCACTACCATCGATCAAGATGCTTTAGGCCTAACATTCATCGACGAAAAAGAAGAGCTAGGAGCAAGGAAGGTCATTGAGCTCTGCCCCGATGGGAAAAACGTGATTGTAAATAGTAAAAATCGGAGACGGTATATTGATTCTCTTATTCAGCACCGCTTTGTCACATCTATTTCTGAGCAGGTGGCACATTTTACTGAAGGGTTTGCTGACATCATGAGTTCAAACGAGATCAAGAGATCCTTCTTCAGGTGTTTGAATCATGAAGATCTTGACTGTATGCTGCACGGTAGTGAGAATGGAATCTCTGTAGAGGATTGGAGAGCACATACGGATTATCATGGCTTCGTGAAAACTGATCTTCAGATATCCTGGTTTTGGGAGGTACGTTTTGTCGGTTGACTGTTGTATCTTTGTATCGAAATAATGTGTTCATATCTGCTTCGTGACGAAATTCCTTTTTTGCCCTTTTCCTCTCTGAGATGTGAGGGATGGTTAGAGAAATGAAATAAGGGTAGGAGTGGAAATTAGAATGTGATTTCCCAGTTCCGCCCAATCTGATACGGAATTTTCCGATTTTGGGATGAAATTTTTATTTCCGATCTCGCTGATTTTTTTTATCGGAATCATATATGAAATTCCAGGAATTTCCTGTCCGGTTTTATTTTCAAAAATTTTGGATTTTTTTTAGAAAGTAATTTTATATTATTAGAAGGGTGTACTATGAAAGATTTGGATTTCGAATTCAGAATAACAAAATCAGTGATTTTTTATTTTATTTTTTTTAATTTTTTTTAACAAGAAATTTCAAGTCCATAGCTCTCATTTTAGTTAGTTTTTTTAGCAATTGTGGTGGATTTCAAATCCCTTCTCATTTGGAGTTGTTTCAAATCCATTCATTTCAAATCCCTCAACACAAACACAGCCTAAAAGTAAACCAAATTTTGTTTATTTCAAATCCATTCATGTTAATATGGTAGGATTTATTTTTATGTTCATGATTTAAAAAATTGTTGTTTTCCGTTGCATTTTCTTCCTGTTTTTTTATTCCTTCAAAGGGAAAATAAATACAAGATGATAAATTATTTGCAACTCTTCCAGATTGTCGGGAATATGACGAAAGAGCAGAAAAAGATTCTCCTCTTCTTTTGGACCTCGATAAAATATTTACCGGTAGAAGGTTTCAGTGGATTGGCTTCTCGGCTTTACATATACAAGACCAGCGAGCCGATTGACCGTTTGCCTTCTTCTCACACATGCTTTTACAGGCTGTGTTTCCCTGCTTACACCACCATTAACGACATGCAAGAACGTCTTCGTATTATTACTCAGGAGCATGTAGGTTGCAGCTTCGGTACTTGGTGAAAATAATTAATAAAATAAGAAGAAAAAAAAACTGTACATACAAAATATAAATTTAATTTTAGTCTGTAAATATAGCAGATTTCACTCTGTTAACTATTTTGGCCCTTGACTGTGTGCAAGGAGGAGGTGTTCTTGCTAGTTCGTTAGCCTGCTGTCGTATTTTCGTTGACGGAGATTGTGGCTGCTTTTTGGTAAATTTAAGTTATATAGAAGGCAACAAGGGTAAGGGTAGTAATTTTTATCTGCATTCTGGAATATAGATTTTTATTTTGTGGTACATTGTTGTGTGAGTTTATAGAAGCTGATTTCTTGATTCATAAAATATGTTGAATTCTCTTGCCATCAAATGTCAAGAAAAAGTTAAGGGGGGGGAAATTATAATTGTGATGAAATTGAAGATGATGGCTCAGCCTCTATTGTACGGTGTTCAGTCTTGAAATTCAAGAAGGTGGCGACTCCAATTGAAAACAAGCATCAAGCCACAACTACTCAAATCTAGAAAATCTTAGATATATCCCAACTCACACTGAGTCGATTCACCAACACATGCAGAGTTAATTAGTCAAAAAAACACTCTCAGACTCGGTAAATCCCTGATTGATTTTTTTCACTCAGTTACTCAGAGACAGAGGAGATTGAAAGAAGAAAACTCAGAAATGCGTATTTACTCTTTCTTGTCCATCTCTATTTTGTAAAAGTGCCAACACAAATCATTTAAAAAAAAAACATATAAATAAAACCATTATGATTTATTTAATATTATATTTATTCAAAATCTGAGGGATCAAACACCATCAAAAGCAAAGCAGAAAACCAGTTTAACCATATGGGATAGAAATTCCATATCAAAGAAAAAAAGAAAAGGCAACACCTTGCTTGAATCGCTCTATGCCACTGTAATAGAGCGTTCATGCAGACAGAACACTTATATTATTATTATAATATTATAATTGAATACCAGTAAATAAATAAACTAGTAATTAAATAGAGAAAAATAAATAAATAATAAACTTAACCACCATAATTTAATTGCTCGCGTCCAGCGTAAAAACGGATCCAAATAGTACTGCTTTTATACTTTGCCTTCTTCACTCCTCAGTTTTTTTAACCGAAGCTTCCTCCGCGGCTTCATCTTCAGCTTCGGCTTCGGCTTCGGCTTCGGCTTCTGCAGCAGGGGCAGTTTCTTCTTCGGCGACGGGTTCCACTTCTACCTCTGGCTCCACCGCTGCTGGCTCCTCCTCCTCCGCGGCGGGGGCGGCTTCTAGAGTCTCCTCCACAGCAGGCGGCGCCGCCGCCTCTGGCTCCTTCTCTGCAAGAACAACGACCTCTTCTTTTTCCACCTCAGCTGGCGCAGTCTCTTCAGCTGCAACTTCCTGGGGCACGGCTTCTGCAGCCGGTTCCTCGGTGACAACTTTCTCAGGCTCGGCTTCAACAGCTGGCTCCTCCGCCGGAGCTGCAGCTTCTTCAGTTACCTCCGCCGCGTCGGAGGCTGGTGCCTCCACCGCAGCCTCCTCCTCTAATTTCTTCTCTGGGGTGGCGGCGATCACTTCCTCTTCAGTTGAAACGGTTTTGGGTACTGTTTGTGGGACCTATGAACATAAGATTCAACCTAAATCATTTTTTTTATTTGTATTAATTAATAGTAAATTAAAAAATCACTCGAAAAAAAAATGATCATATATTATACACGATTATGAATAATCGTTGCTTCAACGATCAATGTACTTTTTTCGTAACACATATGCACATACGGCGATGATCATGATATGTTTATTATCCACAGCCTAAATCGACATTCAAATTATTATATAAATGTAAGATGTTGATCGATATGCGCGCAGTTAAAGAAGTTGATCAAACTTTTCAGACATGCAAGTCGAAACGAAAAAGTTTGATCTCGTCGCGCATGATCGGAAAGCAAATATTATTGATCAAAGCTAATATATAAACTAATTAATCAAAATATTGGATCCCACTAAATCAAATACAGAAAACGCAAATCGACCGATACCGATACCTCAACGGTGGCCATTTGTAATATGGAAGAGTGATTGAAAGAAGAGCAGAAAATGGGAAAAGAAAACTGAAATATGATATGTTGCTTTAGTGTATGTGATGATGGGGAATGAGAGATTAGAAGGGGTATTTATAGGAATTCAAAATCAGCATTACTAATAGCTGAGGATGAGAAATAAAAATTAAAATAATAATTAAAAAAAGAGAGAGAGAGAATCTTAGGCAAATTGACACATCAGATATGATGGTGATGAAAAGGGCCCAGTCTTGTCTAGTTGTAAATGGTTATACTTTTCGAAAAAATGGAGAAAAAAAGAAAATAAATGGGGTTTTTCTTCTATTATTAATTAATTGTTATATACATGTAAAGAAAGAGTGTGGGGGCTTTTGATTTTTGAAAGGGCAAACTCACATGCATTGGTGGAGGCCATTTCTCTATTTAATTGCATATCTTTTTCTCTATCTTTAATTTAATTTTTCTTTTAATTGCTTCTTCTGTGGCTGACTATTGTCATCATACATCCATCTTCAACCATTTCTATTTACAACCCACTAATTCTCTCTTTCCAAAATAAAATGTGGTAAAACAAACTGTTTTTTTTTATTCCAATTATTTTTTGGTACAATCATAGTTACTAGTGTAAATGAGCTGAGTCGACTCGACAAAAGTTCGAAATCAGAACTCGAATTTTTCAAGCTCAAACTCGAGCTCGCCGAAACAACCAAGTTATGTTCGTTTTACGCCCCGTATCATAATAGATGAATGGATTTGTAATTGTAGGGTAAAAAAATAGAAAGAGAATGTTGAACTATTTGTAAACCGAGCACTTGATTGATGGTGCTAGGAATTGGACTTTAAAGTGGGACCCATACCGCCAGCTGTGACAATCAAACACCTCGTAAAAAGGATGCCCACCTGTCGAGTCGCTGACGTGGCACCCCCTCTTCGATTCTTAAACACGAAAATGCGCGCCTTCGATAACCGCGCTGCCCGGGATGTGGGACCACTTTAGATGCTTTTGGAGAAAAGTACACTCGTGACGTGGGTCCCGCATTGATGGGTGCCACGCTGGATCACAGTCACCACCTCATCTTGTCTCCTCTTTTACTTGATTTTTTCTTCTCACTAATCTCATTATTAAATTCCAGAAATTAGTTATATAGTTTTTAAATTTACATAAACCTCTTGAGTTTAGGTCAGAAGAAAACTAACAGCATAAGAAATTAATTAATTTTAATTAAAAATAACATAAAATTTTATGTACGGTTGAATCTAAAGTATGCACTAAAATTTACCTAAAATTTAGTAGCATCAAATAGTTTTGATTGATGGTATGGTATGGGCGGTGGAGATGACCCCACTGTAGTGGGCCCCACCCGACATGGCTTTCGTGCTATTATTTTGCTTGCTCATGGCTACCAACCACTAGGAGAATGCCACGTGGAATATGGTACCTACGAGCCTGAAAGAGGACCGTGGCATTTAGCATTTTGGTTTTTACGGTTACACGTCGTCGGTGTGCCATCACCTCAGAGGTGGGCGGGCCCACTTTTATTTTCTGAAATAAAATATTCGTTTGATGATTCTGACATTTGACTGTGTAATTATATTATTCTTTTTTTTTTTTTGAGAGTTTAAGGATGTAAAAGTATTTAAGCATTAATCAAAACATTTTTCTTTACTTTAACGGTTCAACAAATAAAAAATCAGAGAAAAAATATGCAAATATACTACGAATGAACCTTCTTGAGTTATGAAGAGCCATGCGTCAATATAAATAGTATAATGAAGGGGTGGTCAATGGAAATAGTCGTTCAAGAGTGTCGATACATACAACCTCTACACACAAATTCCCAACAAAAAAATCGATGAACGTAGACCATTTGACGGATAAGTAGCAGTATAAAGCAATTATCCGATGAAAATAACGAAGATGGCGTGAGGGAATAAATATTTAATAGATTGGATTAAGTGGAATAAATCAATAAATTAGGCAACTTTAATTATAGAAACAATCCCTGTCTGCAGGAAGATGCTACGAAATCATAACTAGTATGCACGCATATTGCCTCGGTCTAAAATCTTAAAAAAAAAAAAAAAAAAAAAAAAAAAAAAACCCGAGGGTGATTTTGATGTTCCGGCATGAATCTTGAAGCAATTATAGTAAATCATGGTGCAAACATTTTAGTCCAAGGTTGTCACAGCTTCACGAGACATGCTTTTTTTTGCAACCGGATGACGAATAGTATTCGAAAATCATTTAAAATCTTGGTCCACCTTTGAAAGTGGTGTCTCTCGTAGTTGAGAACAAAATTCATAACTGGCCCCAAATTCATCTATCTGGCACAAGAAACCATCTCAGCCACCATACTGTGATATTTGCACAACTCGATAAATGAAAACTGAAAGAAATTCATCCACCGTAATGTTTCGATTTTTAATACCCTGTGCGGATTCAACCAAAAACATAATCTATATATCCATTGTAAGCCACAGCCTATTGCGAGTTGATGTTTCAATGTACGACTACGAATACATTGAACAGTCATTGGCTCTTTGCAGAAAACATAGAAAAAAGTTCTGTATGAATAACTTGCATCAGCAGTATACTACTCACTCGTGTTTAAAAGATTAAGATATTCGCAGTAGTACATCAACTATTATGGCACAATATTGAAATAAACTTAGACAGAAGAATCTAAACACTTGGAACAAAATGTTGGTAATATTTTAAATTAAAGTGACTCAGCTTAATAGTACAATTTGTAATAATCAAGATCTACTAGTTCCTTAAATTGAAGCAAATACGGCCAAGGGACATTTGGCAAGAAGCAGGCAGTTTTTGCGGGTCTCTAGGGCACGTATGAACTTGATATTCATGCCCTAAATTGGCTTGTTGCAACATAGGCACAAATTGTTAGTACTCGTCATCAATTTTCAGCTGACGAGTTTCTTTAGAACTGCTTCTGCTCGCTGCTCGAATTTTGGTAAGGCCCAATCATGTTGAACGATGTCTAGGTTATCCTTCTCCGCTCCCAAACTCTGATCCGATAATAGGCCAGTCATCAGATTCATGGTTTTGAAAGGAAACAAAAAAAATCATGGGAATTAGATTTCTAATTGATTAGCTATCAAAAAGCAAGAAAAAGAAAGACCGGTTTAGGATTCGTTACAGCCAGTAAAAAGTAAACCACGGAAAATGCTAATTGGGCAAATACAAGAATCAGTTGAAAATCATGGGGACAATACAAATGCTGGAATTACACAACATCACACCTCGGAAGCAGATAACAGGCTTTTTTGTTAAATGGAAATTTAGGCAGAAAGTTTAGATTGGGTTATGAAGAATAATTGCCCACTAGGAAGTCGAACGAAAAATTGCAAAATTCTTTGATTAACAGGAACATAGGAGAATCATTAAATATTATTGCACTCTTAACAGGAAGATGTAATACATTCCTCTTGAGCATGTCTGTTATAAGAATTAAAAGCAAATAGCGAAAATTACAGACTTACCTTTGTTGGATCGAATCCAAATCCACTCATTTGCATCATACGTTGAGTATCATCAGTTGCTGATCAAAGTCAAATTTTTATGTTAATTGCTGATAAAAATAGAAGTACTTTCTCCATCAAAAAATAGATATTTATGTGGCTCGACAATTTTTTTAGTCTTCTTTTTTTCAATACAAGTGAAATAAGCAAAGTGTCAGAATGTTAATTTTTAAGTCGAGAAATACTGACCATTTTCTTCTCCGAGAATAAGGCTAAAGAGGCCTCTTAGACCAAATAGATTGAGAAAATACCTGTCAAATAAAGCTTAATCATTACACCCATTGTTGATAATGTGAAACCAACCAACTAGCAACTGTTGTTCATTAGTGAAAAAAAAAATGTCGTTGATTAGTGATATTGAAATTGTTGCTAATGAGTTGCAAGAATACCATGAGCGGCTGCTGACATAGCTGACATCAACGGTGCTCAAGTCTATACCGTTTTGCAGCATTCCCCTGAATCTCTGAGTAAGCGGAAACGGAATCTTTGCTGGAAAAGAAAATGTGCATCGAATAATGTCAGCCTTGTAATCTTGTTAATATATGGATATCCAAAAAGGGAACCGACGATACATGACATTTAATTTCAGTATCAAAAGGTTCCAATAATTCGAATGGTAACATAATCTATAGAAGCCAATCTATAACTGCGAACTCAGCTATAAATGCACATCAAGATGGCAATACGTAAGGACGAGAATAAACAAGAAAATAAGGAATGGAAAACAAACCTGCTACAAATCCAGAGAAGAAGAAGTTAACCCATGCAAAAGTAAGTGTCTGTTGAATAAAACACGAGCACATTAAGGATGACAGATCTTTCCTCCAACAATACTGTGAAATAAAACTGAAATATACGGCAACTGTACCTGAGGAATGATCATCGAGAGATTTTTTTTCATCATATCCATAGCCATGTTTGGATCGGAGAACATCTGTGCCTGTGGATTCTGAGCTTGGCCCTTAGGCACGTGTAATAAACCGTTCTCCTGCAATTTCAGTTAAATATGTTTCCCATTTAGTAACTATTGCATAACTCATTCGTGGCTAGCACCCACTCGGAAGGGCATAACAGTAAATGGTAGTATCGAATATATATATATATATGTCCAGTAACAATTCCACTGCTATGAACAGCAGAGTTTGAGATTCAGACATGCTTCAGTTGTTCTACTTTGCTTACTCTTGATAATATTCACTTTCTCTTTCTTAATCTAATCTTAACTACACTTACTGGTGTTCTTAAAACTAATTACCGAGATCTAAAGCAGAATATTCAACTAATCACCCCCAAAAACATAAATTCGAGTCTTTAATCTCAACTAAACCACAAGCACCAGTAGGAAACACACGTTGAGAATACAATTTCTAACCTCGTTGCTGTAATAGTTCTTACGAGCACGGAACGACTTAGCAGGGATGAAATTCGCGGCCGCCCTCAGATTCCGTGCCCTAATTATCAGTTGCCTGTGAAACAAAAAACCAATTCGCAGATTAAATAAATCTCCATACACTATTACGCGCCAGTACTGGAACAAAACAGCAAAAAAACGAATAAGAAATTACCCTTCTTTGACAATTTTGACATCGGGAGTTTGATCGGAGCGCATGAGCTTAGAAACGAAGTAACGGAGGACTCCGATGAGTACCATCACCACCGACAGTGGAATCAGCACCCAGTCTCTGATCGCCGTATCCAAAACCAAATCTTCCGCCATTGCTTTTTTCCTTCGGAATATTTCGGATCTCTGCTCACGCGCTTCTGGTTTTTTTAGAGTTTCTTTGGAACTTCAGATGCCCAAGGAGAGGTGCTCGGTATTTGCGGGTCAAATCTATTTTCGGGCCCTAATTTCGAATTAAAAAACACAACGGGCCAATTGCGCCATCTGATTGGCCCAATAAAAAGCCCAACCCAATATTGGCCTTCATTCTGGATTTATGTCAGTTTATCAACTGATTAAACAACCAATTAAGTAGAGCAAAATTTTTTTATAAAAAGTTAATGGATTTTATTTAATGATTGTTTTGTTAATGGATTAATGGCCCTAAAACCGACCAATGCTACCAAATCAACGCAAGGGATGATCTAGTGGTTGTAGCAAGTGAGTGTGTCAATTGGCTCAAGTTCGAATCCTCTTGCCAACGGTCGCTAGGTCGAGCTTGGTTAGCCTATTGTAACAATAGTTTACGGCCTGGTTTTAAAAAAAAATAAAAAAATTAAATAAAGAATGAAGTGAATTAGCACTCAATTAACAAACTTATTACACGGACTAAACCAACAATTACATTAATCAGCCTAGAGCAACACACTTTCTGAACCAAAGAGAAGATTCTAAGCTTGCACTTGTGATTGTAGCTTTATTCCTTCATACAAGCACACCCCAACCAACATACTCTCTCTTCTTTCCACATATTTTATTATCAGCCATTCCTCAGATAACCAGCTTTGTTCCTTAAATGGGCTCACTCTCTACTCCCTCACCGTTATTTTCCGGCAAAAAGTTCGCAACAAATGCTCACAACTACGTACCGAAAACGAGATTTCCAAATTCGTCACATGATGTTTCACAAGTAATAATACATTCCCGGAAAGGTTCTTTCAAAGGCAACAGCTCCATTAGAAACGCCCATGTGGCGGTCGCCTGCGGTGGCAAAGACTCGGTGCCGCCACGAGGGGAGCACGGAGCGCTCGAAACGGTGCTTAAACTTTACGAAGCAATCAAGAATAAAAATGTGTACGGTATCTCTGATATTATATCGGAAGAATGCTTGTGCGTTTCAAACTTCGTTTCTGCATTCCAGCCCTTGCTCGGTAAGAAGGTAACATTGATTCATCTTACAACTCTGGTTCTTGCAATATATAGTTAGTTACATACATTTCATGCCCTGTTTTTTTTGGATTTCGGTTGCAGCAAGTGTTGGATTTCTTCTGTTTGCTGATGAAAACCTTGGGGAATAATATCGAATTTGTGGTGGAACAAACTTCGGACGACGGAATGGTGGTTGCTGTATCCTGGAAACTAGGTTTTGTCCTTATCTTTACCGTAATAACGATTTACTCAGTTCGGCTTTTTTTTTTTCTTTTCTTCGGCAAACGGGGTTGCTTATCTTGTCGTTTATCGTTTCCTTAGAATGGAATAAGGTTCCGTTGCCACTGGGAAAAGGGTTCAGCTTCTACATGTGCCATATTTACCGGGGAAAAGTGATGATCAAGTAAGTGAGATTCATTCTGTTAATATTTCAAACTGAATTGATCGCTGACCGTATTTATTTTTTTAATTCCTGACATAGAAACGTAGAGATTTTCATGGAGCCAATCATCCACATTGAACCCCTGAGATTGGTTTGCCTCCACACTCCAGTAAAGCTTCCATTTATATTAATTTTAAATTTTATTTTTAATGAAAATAACGAGTGATGGTTACAGAAATTAATTTCCATGGCGATGACTGCAATGGAAAAGATTAATCATCGGACTCTGTTCAGAAACAAGACAAGAAGGGCCGTTGTTATTTTGTTCGTTATTCTCTTCGTTGCAGCAACACTTGTGTTCTTGAAATACAGGGTATCTACATAAATAGTACTGGAACAGAGTATTCATCGTCTCACCAAGAAAACAGAGCAGTGAAAAAAACTGATAGAGAGAGTTAAAACTAGTCGACATCTACATACCGATTGCAAGGCGTCCAGATAATGTAGCATTAATCTAAATCTTTTTTTCTTACACATCACAACGGCATTAGTCAGAATAAAGAGACGAGAAAAACCTAAACCAAGGCCATCATGATATAATTACAAAATATATTTCTAGCCCTCGGCCGGTACTAAGTCACATTGTTCATAGGTGCAAACTGTGAGTAAAGAAACTAAATTACATCTTCGAAAGACATCAGTCATGTCATCAGAAACATCTATCCAGCTACAGCGTCATATCACCTGCAAATAGTATAACATAAATGTTTATCAATTTTGTGTGTACCAATAGAGAGTATTTCCAAACGGGTCATGTTTTTTCGACAAATTCAATCAAGTCAAAATAAGTCAAGAGTGGGAAGAAAATGAAAACGGTGCCAAACATTTCCTAAGGAATGTGGGGAGAGTTATTTCAAGGGCTGAGTACAAATGTAATAAAACCAAATCGCCAGTCACTAGCTTTCAGTGTGAAATTATACGTAAAGTTGCAAAAGAAAAATAAGTCGAAAGTATAATCCGATTATCAAAGAAATATACTTTATCCTAGAGTAACAGATGAGCAGGAAGATCAACAAAAAATAAATACACAAATTAATGCGCAATTGGCAAACTTGTCGCATATTACTTACCAGTACATAACAAAACATTATCATTTCTTCAATAAATGATGGCGGATAAGCATCTCCTGAATTCCCAAGGCAGAAATACTCTCACAACCCAAAAGCTCTTGAAGCTTCGCATCACAGTGAATAACCATAGAACTCAGAGGATCCTACAAACAAGACTAAGGTCAATACAAAGTCCTAACGGAAGTAATAAATCCCAGTACGCATTACCAGTGGTTAATGTAATTGCTAAAATGGAAGTACAACATCTCATATTAAATGAATTATGACAAATCAACCAGTTGAAATCCAGCACCAGGAACATTAATAGGGTTAATGCAATTGCTAGTCTTGATTACAGATCAACTACCTTAATTTCCTCGTCTAAAAATTCAAGATGTCAGACCAAGTCGATATAAAAATGAACAACAAGAAGACTTCTTTTAATTGAGTCAAATAGGGAAAGAGAAGATAACATATCACCTCAAACGGTTGAGTATTCAAATTTATATTAGAAGTTGGAATAAAAGAAGCGTGGTACTTAAACCCTAGCAAAAGGAAATAGCAAATGTAATAGACCACTGACCTCCAGCTGGTTAACCTTTACGTACTCCCAAACACGCTCCAAAGCCTCTGACTGAAGCATCTCTTTTTCTCCTGTCCCAAAGAAATTTGAAAGTGGTTCTGATATTACTACAGGAACAAGGCTAGAATCTTGATTTTGCTTTGTAGACTCATCTTCATTTTTTAATTTCATAGCTTGCTCCGATTGTTCTGCAGGTAGTTGAAGTACACTGAGAAACATTATTTGTAAAAAAAGATCATAAAATGATGTTGGTTTCATGTTCAGCTTACACACTTGTTGGATCAAGCGGCAAAATATGCTTTGCCAGCAACTTATTCATCTTGAACATGTCAGTAGAGTCTATTTCAAAGACCAGTCGCAGAGCATCATCACAGATAATCTTTCTCCTGTTCCCTGGATCCTGAAGGTTATGTTTTCTGATGTATGCCCACAGCTGCTTCACTATCTGGATTGAAACCAAGCAATTGCTTATACATTATTTTTTAAAATAATAATAATAATAATTGAGCAGTTCGTGTTTGGGGGGGGGGGGGGGTGTTCCAAACCTCTGTCCTTGGTAATGCTGGCTCCCCGACAATGGCCTGTAGTTCAGGTGAAACGCCACATACTTTATTTAGACCTCCAGGACCACCTCTTCTTTTAATTCTAGCTGGTGCTCTAAAATGAAATTGAGTAACTAACATTAAAATCATAAGATCCTAACTAATAATCATGTGTATCGTTTAAAAAAAATGAAGGTCTGTTGATTGCAGATCCCAACGAAAAATTAATTGCACGCGAACAGACGACAGACGTCAACGTTATTTAACCTGGCCCACCATATGCCGCATTCTGAGAAAAAAAATAGAAGCAAAACAAAACTAACATCGACGCAACAGTCATCCACTTTTCCATTATACATAAAAGTGTCAACAGTAATAGAAAGCGTGATACTGGAAACTTCTTTCTAAGGTCGAATGCCTAGGACATTGTAAACCCTAATATGGTTGACGATCAATAGTAATGTCAATAATAGAACAAGATTTTTATCTATCTATCCATTGTATTACCAGCTTAGGAGACAACAAGTAAGTTCGTAAAGCCAAGACAATTTGAACACCATAATATGCCAAAATAATAAAAATTAACCTTAAATTTGCAACAAATTTAGTCCAAAGAAGAATCACCGAAAACGATGTTGCATTAAAAACTTCCCCCAATTTTTCCCTAATAGCAAACAAAAACACCGATAGTAACCAAGATTGGAACTTTACCATCACACGGTTAAAACACTCAAAACAGCTACGACGAATCCAGTTATAGAACATAACTGAAATCCATTTAAGTTCCTTTCAAACACAAAGGCTATCCTAAACCCTAGGTCTCACCGAAAACTAACCATTAAAACTAAAATCAATCAACTAATAAGTCATTCTTGTTTCCTCTCAAACACAAAGGCTAACCTAAACCCTAGGCCGCACTGAGAATTAACAATTAAAACTAAAATCAATATACTAATAAGCCATGATTGTAATCACTGTGAAGACTCAATTTTGTACCCCGAAGAAAACCCTAAAACCCTCGGAATCTGTGAAATTAAACAGACTAACCTTCCTTTCCGCGTTTCAGAAGCATTTGCTGCTGCATTCTGGTCTTTCACCGCCGGGACGGGCTGTGGGTGTTTCACTTGCGTCTGTTGCTGAAAGGCGAAATGGGGCTGGTGAAACGGTTGGGGAAGAAGGAAATTTGGGGACTGGTTTTGGGGCTGAGGGGGCAGCTGGTCTTTCGGTACGGGGTGCGAGCGGAGGAGGAAAGTGATTTGGTCCCTGATGAATTCCGTTTTGTGGGAAAGCTCTAACCCTAGTTTCGCTTCGAGCTGCTGAACGACACTGTTCAGGGAAGTGACGGCGTTAGGGTCTGATTGACGGAGCACTGTCTCCACGCCTTCCGCTATCTCTTGGTCCGACACCATCGTTACGCTTGAGCTTCTGCCTTCATATAATTTTTTCGTTTAACGGCAAGTTAACGGACGGCTCAAACGGCTCTTCCCTCTCTTCTTCTTCTTCTCAGAATTACCCTCTCTGCCTTTCTCTCTCTCCTCTCTCTCTCTCTTCCCGACAAATATAATACAAAATTATCTAATCACGAAAATACCCTTGCTTCGGAGTGGATGAAATGACCACAGTAGCCCCCACGAGTTCAAGAGAAATTAGTTTACGCTTGCTTTGAATTTCATGGAAATGACAATTATACCCTTACATTGTATTAAATATCGAAATTCTCGTCAGGGTATTTTGGGGTTATGGAAGTGCTATATTCTTGGTGAAGCTTTGGCGGTTTGATGTGACTGTGAGATGAGATAGTAAGGTTTGTTCAACAACAAAAAATATAGAAAATTTAAAAAATTAAGGGTAAATTACAAACACCCCCTGAGGTATGGTCAAATTACAAAAACACCCCTCTTGTTTGGATAATTACAACCACCCCCTCAACTCCTCAAATTTAGTGGAATCTTCGAGATTATATGGAATATTATCACTTTTGTACCCGTTTTATCTCATTCAAACTCTACATTATAAAACAAGATGATCAGAATATGTGATTTTTAACTTGTATATATCAGTTTGTGGTGCATCGGAAACTATATTTTTACACAAAATGAGTACAAACTATAGCACATTTCATAGAATCTAGATGATTAGCTTGATTCTGTCACAATAGGGGTGGAGGTGTAAGAAAAAAATCATAGTTGAGGGGGGTGGTTGTAATTATCCAAACAATAGGGGTGTTTTTGTAATTTGACCATACCTCAGGGGGTGTTTGTAATTTACCCAAAAATTAAATTAAATTATATTATATATATCATATTAATTAAATCTAATTATAATATTTATTTGCAATATATTTATAATTTAACTTTTACAGTAGTCATTCTTAAATTAATAATCTTTTATTAGTGGGCTCAGATAAACCAACGTCTATTGCTATTTGTCAACCCGCCCAATATGGATGGGCCGACGCCCATAAGGCATCATTACTATTAAATATTCGGCCCGGAACTTAGTCGGGTAGGATCATACGGGTTTGGACCCTCATTTTCTACCCATCTCAGAAGCCGGCTAGAGCTGTTGCAGAACAGGAAAAATGGCGCAGATTCTCAGTCTTCCTCCACCAAACCCAAGTTACAGAAACCAAACACCGCAACAACAACACAGTTCAACTCGGCGAAGACTCACCGCTTCGACTAGCTCAACTCACAGCTGGACCTCCGTTTCGCACTCCGTCAAGTGCAACGGCAGGGTTTCATGCCTCTTCTCGGACAATCGCAAACAGGTTTCTCTTCCTACGTTCGTATTCCAAAAATTAAACTGCTAGTTCAAAAGAATTGAAAGAGAAACTTCTTCCGGTACAGTTCGGGATTTCCATTTTCACATTTTCCTCCCTAATTTGACTGTCATTTTTGGAACAGTGAATCGAACTGGAGAATTTTATGTAAATATTTGACCTAATTTTTTTGGAATAGAGAAACTTTGGATAAACACTAAGTTGGAGATATTACAAGGAAAGTGTGACTTTCTTAACTGGATTTCTGATTACTTTCCATGTTATAAATGTTACTAGTGGTGTTTTATAATGAAATAAAATGGATGGGAGAATGGAAAATGTGGTTAAGCCATTGGTCTTAGGGTTGCCTCTTATATATGAATTGTATCTTTAGGATGAACTTGAGTTCGGCAAAGTTTACGTTTGGTGGCATGGGATGGGATTCTTGTTGAAACTAGAAACTACTTGTACTAGATTCAAATGAGCCCTAAATCACAAGATTTATAACTCAGTGTCGGATTAGCTCTCAAAATGCAAGTGTAGGTGGTCTTTCATGCATATGGTATTAACGAATATTTCGCGGCGGAGAGTGAATGCATTTAGTTGGATGTAGCTCCTTGACGATGGTGCCATATACGGTTGCGGAAGCGACTGTATGGTGTGTCCCAGTTACATCATTCCATGCCTTATGAGTTCAATTTTCGGTTGTAAAGGTTTTAGAAGATGCACGTTGAACTTTAGTCAAGTTTGTCGAATGGCCATCTTATGTAAAAGTTTAAGGTGTTACATATGCAAATACTTTAATCTCTCACGTAATCGGAACTGTTTTATTTTTTAGTGAAGTCTTTATAAGTGAAACTTTCTAAGATGGATGTAAGTGAAGGTCAAACTCACGACCTTGTTTGGCCTGGATGTAGAACCACTATTGTATTATAAAATATTTCGTAGGTACATATTAGAAAGTATATATAATATAAGTAAGCCAATGGGTCTATTTGTACCCGGAAGTAGAGATTCTGAGCTAATTCTGGTGAATGTAAGTCCGTAAGTTGTCAACTTCGTGCGTTTATATGATTGAATGAACTTTCTGAATCTTAGCCAAACCTGGCTGATTGACATCTTTTCATGTTAACTACCCATATCTGAAGTTCAAATGTTCAATGGCTAAAATACGAAAGGAATTGATTGATAATCTTCCGGAGAATGCATCCATCTATTCATCTATGTTTCTGGAAACAAATAACTCGGTTTATGTTCGCTACCTGTAATGTAAATTCAACTTTTAACTGCAAAAACTTAGATTTCAAGAAAGTGCGTATAAACTTCAGATGCCCCTCTCGTTCACCGTGTTCTTCTGCTATACCATCAATGGATATCACATATATATTTTTTATTACTTACAGGATCAGGCTCGAAAAGCCTTAGAAGGTGCCCTAGGTGAAAAGAAAACAGAGTTTGAGAAATGGAACCAAGAGATTAAAAAGAGAGAGGAAGCTGGCAGTGGAGGAGGAAACTCCGGAGGAGGTGGCGGTTGGTTTGGGTGGCGTGGGTGGTTTGGTGGCTCCGATGGTGACCGTTTCTGGCAGGAAGCACAGCAAGCAAGTCTTACTATTTTAGGCATTTTTGTTGTGGTAACGTTTTGGAATCTTTCTAATTATTTTCCCGTTAAATATGATACCGTTACAGAAGGCTCGGACTAGCT